TGGTGATGACGAACTCGGTCTGCTTGCCTTCCGCCGCCCTGGGGTGGTGCGCCCTCGCCGTCCCCAGCCCCAGCAGGGTCTTGAACTTCTCCCTCAAGCCGGAATCCTTGCTGCTCGGCTTGGCCATGGTGGGCAGCTCCGCGCGAATGCACCGTGGCTGACCTCACCCCGGCCCTGCGGCCGCCCGCGGACACGGCGAACCGACAAGAGTGCTGAGGCGGACGCGGCCAGGGCGCCAAGCACCGGGGAGGCGGGCGGGAGCCCAGCGCCGCAGCCGCCGCGCGCCGGGCAGCCGGGAAGCCGGGCGGCCGGGCAGCCGAGCTGCGGGTCGGACACTCACCGGGCCCGCGACGCCGCCGCCGGAAGCGCGCCCCGCACATCCGTCCGCAGGAAGTGGGGCCCGGGCACGCGCGGAGCGCGCTGGGAGTCGTAGTTCTGAGTCGCCGCCGGACGCACGCGCCACGCGGGGGCCGACGGGACGTGTAGTCGCGGGACGCGTCCGGCATGCACACGCTGCGCGCCGGGATGCTGACGCGCAGCCGGAGCCGAGGAGGAGCGCCTGCAGGTTGGCGCCCCGGCCAGGAGGGACGGGGAAGGGGCCGTGTCCACCGGCGTCCGGGTGCACGCGCCGCCGCCGCGGCCCTGCGTTCCCATGCTGCGACCCGAAGCGACCAAGTTCTTCCCGTCCCGTCAGCCTGCCCGGGACTCCCGGGGGCCCTGAGCGCCGCGTGTGCCTAGCCCTGGCCTGGAGAGAGCGGGGCTGCCTGGACCCCACGCCCCCGCGCTCGTCCCGTCCCAGGGGAGATGGGGCGTTCCCGACGCTCCCCGGTGTTGGGGGGAAGCACGGACAACCGCAGGGCGGGAGGAACGGAAGAGGGGCGGGGAGCAGGCAGAGGCCCAGTGCCAGTGGAGAGGGCTGAAGAGGACACACCAGGAAGTTCTGTACGTGCCCAGAGGATGGACTGGGGTCCCCGTACGCGTCCGGGAGGGGAGCTTAGATACCCCCAGGGAAACAAGGCCGCAGGGAGCTGGGAGAATGCTTGAGGGCTGCGCGCCTCCCCGGGACGCACACTCCTGGGGCTCAGGGACCGAGTGGTGCTTTTTGCAGGAGAGAAAAACCCCAGCCCTGTGAAGCGACCACACAAGGTCAGGAGACTGGACATGGCCTATGAGGAGGATCCAGAGGGTGAGAAAGGTGACAGGGTCCAGGCCCCAGGCTGGGAGCCCCAGGACTGGCGAGAGCAGCTTGCCAACATCCGCGCCATGAGGAGCAGGAGGGATGCCCCCGTGGACCAGCTCGGGGCCGAGCACTGCTACGACACCGGTGCCCCCCCAGAGGTAAGCAGGAGCCTCCCCGCGCTCGCTGCCGGCTCGAGGGGCACCGGGGAGGGGCACCGGGTGGACGCGTCCTGCCGCCAGCAGGTGCAGAGGTACCAGGTGCTGCTGTCCCTGATGCTCTCCAGCCAGACCAAGGACCAGGTGACCGCGGGTGCCATGCAGCGGCTGCGGGCCCACGGCCTGACGGTGGACAGCATCCTGCAGACAGATGAGGGCACTCTGGGCCAGCTCATCTACCCTGTGGGCTTCTGGAGGGTGAGCCCAGGGCCTCAGGGCTGGAGAGAGCCGTGGGAGCCCCTGCAGGGCCCTGCCCTGGCCAGCGGCCCGCACACTCGCCTGGCCCTCTGTTTACTCCAGGGCCCCTTGGCATGTGCCACCCTTCCTCCTGGAGTCTGACAGGGGCTTCCGCCCGACTCCTGAGCACTGGGTGGTGGGTGGGGCTACATCCCTCAGTGGTGCCGGCAGGGGCCACCGTCTGTCCCCAATGGGCTTTGAATAGTCCTGCCGGGGGCTGTCGGACACGGGATGGGAGCCACCCTGTCAGCTGCCGTGGGGCGGGGGGAGGCCCAGGTTCCAGGCACTCACTGCCTGAAGGGGGCACAGCCCGACCCGCAGGTGGGAGGCGCAGGCCAGGCCAGCCTTGGGGCCTCTTGCTGCCCATGGCAAGGCAAGCAGGTGGCAACACCTCTCCCCAGTTCAAGCTCTGCTCACATCTGCATCTTTCAGAGCAAGGTGAAGTACATTAAGCAGACCAGCGCCATCCTGCGGCAGCGCTATAATGGAGACATCCCAGCCTCCGTGGCAGAACTGGTGGCCCTGCCGGGCGTCGGGCCCAAGATGGCCCACCTGGCCATGGCTATCGCCTGGGGCACCGTGTCGGGCATCGGTGGGTAGCCTAGGCCAGTGAACGGGGAGGCGTTGCCCTGGGCCCACTGCCTGCTTGGGGAGGTGGGGGGCTTGTCCTCACGACCCTGACTTCAATTCCAGCCACCTCATTCATGACAAAGCCCAGGGGGTCAGAAAGCTGTCCATGCTGCTGGGCTGACCAGTCACAAGCCCAGGGAGACTGGTGGGGGGAGGGGAGGTGGGCACTGCAGGTGGAGCAGCGGCTGGGGAGGAGTGCCCAGGCCCCATTCCCTGGTCGGCACAGGAAGGACAGGCTCTCTCCCCAGAAACCCTCCCAGAGTCCTTTGCAGGCAGGTAGGGGAAGACAGCCCCCTGGATTCCTGCAGAGGTTGCGGCCCCCCAGAGCAGGGGAGGTGCCCTCCCCCACTGGGATGCCCTGAGCTGACACAGCCCAGACTCTTGGCAGATTCCTGAGCTCACCTGGGCAGCTGTCCTCCGCTGCGCGTGTCCCAGGAGGGCTATGTGGGGATAGGGAAGGTTGTGGGGAACAGCCCCTGACTGGTGGCTTGAGAACGGCAGAGGCCCTGGATGGGAGAGTCAGGCTGTTCTCTGGGGACCCCACACCCTGCCAGAAGACCCCAGGCTGCTTCTCGAACTCCTGCTGAGCTCTGCTCCTCCAACCAGGCACCTTGGCCGGCCTGGACCTCTGTGGTTCCATGGGGGCCGCACACACGGGCCAAGATGTCTCCCAGTCCTGAGCCGTGGCTGAAGGAACTGACACAGTTCTGGTCTGTGCTTTGTCCAATAGTGAAGGGGACAGAGCCAGAACTGCAGCTGGTCAGGGCAGCCAGCACCCATGTAAAGTCCATGGGGCATAAGGGAGCAGGGGTCATTGCCCAGGGGGATGGCAGCTCTGTACCCCAAGCCTGGCTGAGTGGCCACGCGGGCAGTGACCTCAGACCTGCCCTCTGGACCAAGAGGAGCCTCAGTCACAGGAGGTGAGGCTGTCGGGCCTGGGTCTCTGCACAAGGGTGCCCTGTGAGGACATGCAGGGCAGGCCTATGGATCTCCAGTGGAGGGTCTACCTACCCCCCCAGCACTTGGCCCCAATTAGCTGTTCCCGTTGAAGGCAGAGCCCAGAGAAGACACCCCTGCCCAGAGGAAAAGCTCCATGCCCCCACCATGCAGAACAGGCAGTTCTGGGGGCAGCCCAAGAGCAGTGGCTGAGGCCATTGGGGGCTCAGCCTGCCTGTGTGCCGGGACCTCCCGGTCACCCCACCCCAATCCCAAGCAGCAGTGGACACACACGTGCACAGAATCGCCAACCGCCTGCGGTGGACGAAGGAGGTGACCAAGTCCCCAGAGCAGACTCGCGCCGCCCTGGAGAGCTGGCTGCCCAGGTGTGGCTGAGGCCAGAACAGCTTTGTCGGGGGAGGGGTGCGAGGGCCCTCCTATGTCCCTCCTTGGCACTGACCCAGCTTCTGTCCCCACAGGGAGCTGTGGAGCGAGGTCAACGGGCTCCTGGTGGGCTTTGGCCAACAGACCTGCCTGCCGGTCCACCCTCGCTGCCAGGCCTGCCTCAACCGGAGGCTGTGCCCGGCTGCCCAGGGCCGTGCGTGATGTGCCCTTCCTCAGGGGGCCTGTTTAATAAAGCGTGGGGATTGTTTGTATCCGCGGTCTGGTGACACTCCCTGCAGGGCCAGTTGTTGTATGCACCCATGTCACGTGTATACACCCGCATCTGGAGGGTCAGGGTGGGGCTGGGCAGTCTCAGCTGGACGGAGGAAGTAAGAGGCGGTAGCTGCTGGGAAGCGTCCCTGCCCCCACTACTGGCCTAGGCTTGACCACAGACCCTGGCTCCCCCACCATCACCCCTGCCTTGAGTTTACAGAGCCATGTGGCCTCGGGGGACCTGGTAGGGCACCAGGGTCTACCTGTGTGCGTGGCTGGCAGTGACATCACCCCACTGGACGGAGGGCCCCCTGGTGTCACAGCACAGGTGGGGTGGGAGGCCAGGCTTCACCAGGCCCAGTAGGTGGGCAAGGGACCCAGGCACGCCCCGTTCGGTAGAGCAAACAGGACCTGTGCGTGCCAATGGGGGCAGCTCCAGGGGCCCCCAGCACAGCCCAGCTTGGGCTCCCTTCCCCCTCCGCCTGCAGAGGCTCACAAAAGACAGAGGCGCCACAGTTCCAGGCAGGCCTGTTTATTCTGAGGGCGCACATGCGCTATGGCTTACAAGGCAGACAGTAGTACTGGCCAGTGGGCTCCGGGCGCTGAGGCAGGAGAACAGGGCAGAGGCATGGCAGGGGTGGGCGCCGGGCAGGCGCAAGGTAGGGGTGCCCCCCTGGGGGGCGGGGAAGTCCTCCATCTTTGAGGCCCACAGCCCAGAGTCATTGTGTCCCAGCCCCGGAGTGGGGCAGAGGGGCAGCCCAGAGAAGCTGGATGGGGCTGACCCAGCAGTGGCCTTCTCCAGGCCGGGAGAAAGGCAGAAGGGGCAGCTCTCTGCCACCTCTGGCTTCTACAGCCTTCCACCCCCCAACTTGGCTCTGTGCTGGAGTCCTGAGGACCCCCCTGTGGAGGGCTGCTGCTGGGGGCAGGGAGAAAATGGATTGCAGAGGAAGGTTGGTTTTATTGCGATTATTTAGAGAGCGCATCCTGAGGGAGTGGGGGAGGGGCTCTGGTATTAAGTGGAAACATGTGTGGAGCTGAGGAACTTTTTTGAGGGGGAAAAAAGCAAGAACACAAATTCCTTTCTGTCGGCAGGCCCGGGCCCAGCAGTAAAGGCCCTGGCCACAGCAGGCAGCCTCCCAGCAGCCCCCACTCCCCGCGGTCCCCAGCAACACAGTGGCTCTCCTGAGGCGGGGCCCGGCCAGCAGGCAGGGGGTTCAGAAGTTGCTAAAGATCTCACGTTTGCGGTTCCAGTCCATCTGCGGGGCCCGTTTGTTGACCCGTGTGGCCCGGGCCTTCTCCTTGGCCTCGGCTGCCGTGGGGCTCAGGTGCAGGCCGCTCTCCTGGAATGGGTCCCGCTTCCAACTGCTGGCATCCTGGGGAGGCATGGGGGAGCTGCTCGTGCAGGGCCTTCCTGCAGATGGGGCCCCTCCTCACCTCCCAGGCTGACATCTCCCGAGGCCCCTGGCACCCGTGTGTGTGTGTCCACAGAAGCAGAGCTGGGAGGACGCCTGGTTACCTCGGTGTCCTTGTCCAAACCTGGCGGGCCACCTCTGCTAAGCTGGGAAACCAAGGGCAGGCCTGCTCCGCAGGCCCCACCTGCAGGCCCCCCCGAGAAGTCAGGTGCACACGGATCCCCACACACATATCACAGCACCAGGCAGGGCACACACACCTGACCTGCCCTGGGCAGGTGGGGACTGGAAGGCTCATGTGCCAGGGAGACCCCAGGTGCCCACCCCAGCCTGTAGGGCCAGGCTATAATGCTGGCCCAGGATGGCATTAAACCCTGGGCCAGATGGACCAATGGGGCCAGGGGAAAAGTTGTGCAGCCACACCCGTCCAGAGGCAGACATTTCCAGGGAGAAGCCCTCCATCAGGTCTGGGGGGCCCCAAGGTACCCCAGAGGTCTCCTTGGCCCAGTCTCACCTGGGCAGGACTGGTCCCATTGGTGATCGGTGACGGCAGTGGACCTGCAGGGACAGCATGTCTGTGGCCACTCGGCCCCCCACTCCCTCCTCCCATGCCTGACCAACCCCAGGACGCAGCGCACCTTCCACATGCTCCTCGGTGGGTGTGATCCGCAGCCGTTTGAAGTGCTCGTCCGTGTCAGGATCCACCACCAGCAGCCGGGCCTCGCTCTCTTTGGCCTTGATGCTGGCCACAACTTCGGCGTGCCGCAGCCCCTCCACATTCTGCCCGTTCACCTGCCGCCGCCAGCACCCCAGGTCAGCAGCCTGAGGGGCCCCACCAGCCCCCAGGAGGCCCAGCCGGGTGTGGCATCAAATATTCATCAAAGCCACCACCGGCCAAGGCCTGGAGAGGAGTGTTCACCCGCTCAGGTTCTCAGCAGCTCCTTCAGCAGGGGCCCCAGAACACACACACACACGGATGCAGGGACACACACACACGGATGCAGGGACACACACACACGGATGCAGGGACACACACACACACACACGGATACAGTGACACACACGGATGCAGGGACACACACACACACGGATGCAGGGACACACACACGGATGCAGGGACACACACACACGGATGCAGGGACACACACACACACGGATGCAGGGACACACACACACACACGGATGCAGGGACACACACACACGGATGCAGGGACACACAAGGATACAGTGACACACACAGATGCAGGGACACACAAGGATACAGTGACACACAAGGATGCAGGGACACACACACACGGATGCAGGGACACACACATGGATGCAGGGACACACACACACACGGATGCAGGGGGACACACACGGATGCAGGGACACACACACACACGGATGCAGGGACACACACACGGATGCAGGGACACACACACACGGATGCAGGGACACACACACACGGATGCAGGGACACACACACGGATGCAGGGACACACACACACAAGGATGCAGAAACACACACACATGGATTCAGGCACTGACGCACAGGGATAAGGTCAGGATCTTGAGATCTGCATACACGCAGGACCACCCAGCACCCGCCCAGTCCCAAAGCCGCGGTGCTCAATACCTCGATGAGCCGATCTTGGGGGCGGAGGCCGGAGTGGGCGGCAGGCGAGCCTGGGTCCACGGAACGAATGTACTGGCCGGGCCGAGACTTGTCACTATGCAGATTAAACCCGTAGCCCTGCGGGCCCTTGTGCAGGTGACAGAGCCGAGGACGCAGCTCTCTCGGGGGCCCGTTGGCATCCTGTAGGTGCAGGGACCACCAGGTTGGGCTCTGCCACCAGTCACCCTGAACCACACACTGACCACAGTGCCCCTGCCGCCCAACCCCCCACGTTGTGTCAGGGTCTCCAGTCCTAGCCGCCTAGGGATGGTTTTGGCTGCCCTACAGCAGTGGTGACACAAGACTCTAGGCTGCTGGAGGGCTGCGTGTGCCCAGGCTGGGGCTGTGAGAACAGTGAGGTCCCCTTGTGGTTCCAGGGGACACTGTGCCCCTAATCCCGCCCCTGTACTCACCTGGTTCTGCTGGGCCCACAGGAGCAGAGACCAGAGCCTGCCTGCTCCCCTGCTGGAGGCCCAGGAGCACCCCCCACTCCCATGGCCCAGGGTCCTGACTTCACTTCACCTCTGGCATCTCGCGCAGGAGGGCTCCAAAGCAGGAGGGCCAAACCCCAGCGCCCCAGCGTCCCTCACCTGGCCCTGGCTGACCAGCCACGGCACTGAAAGGCCAGCAGCCGCTGGTGCCCAATTACATGTGGCTATGGCCGCAAGGAGCAGGCGGGTGGCTGCTCAGGTTTCCGGAAGGTCCCAGTGGCTGGGGTGCTCCCCAGGGCCCCTCCCACCTGTCTCAGGGGGCCCTGAGCCAGGCTGGGGGCAGTGCTGAGGGAAGGCACCTGCTCTCAGGCACCTGACCCCCTCAGTTCAGATCACTGCCTGGTCACTTTGGCCCCCAGCCTTGAAAAGCTCACTACAGGGCCCGGCGCGGTGGCGCAAGTGGTTAAAGGTCCTCGCCTTGCACGCCCGGGATCCCATATGGGCGCCGGTTCTAATCCCGGCAGCCCCGCTTCCCTTCCAGCTCCCTGCTTGTGGCCTGGGAAAGCAGTTGAGGACAGCCCAAAGCTTTGGGAACCTGCACCCGCGTGGGAGACCCGGAAGAGGCTCCTGGCTTCGGATCGGCATAGTATCAACCCGTTGCGCTCACTTGGGGAGTGAATCATCGGATGGAAGATCTTCCTCTCTGTCTCTCCTCTCTGTATATCCGCCTTTCCAATAACAAAATAATAAAAAAAAATAAATCTTTAAGAAAAGCTCACTACAAACAACTCCCCTAGGAGCCGGCAAGGGTCCGTGTCCGCCACACTGCCAGCCCAGTCCCTAGCTGCTCCCTCCACCGGGACCCCTTCCCTGCACCTGGGCCCGGCCTGCAGTTTCCTCAACACCCATCACCATGGCTGTGCGGCCATGTCCATCACACCAGGGCTGGCGGGGGATGTGGGAGGCACCAAGAACTCCAGGGCACAGGCCCAGACACAGATGTGGGGCTCTGGAGCACAGCTGGGCACCTCCCCACAGAGGTGCTGTCAGGGCCCCGTTGGCCAGAACACAGCCCAGGGGTCAGCCTGGGAGGGGGCAGAGTGGCAGTGCTTGCCCATGTGCCGCGGGCCCTAGTGGCAGGGGTCATCAGGTGGTGCCAGCATGGGGTGGCCACAGCGTGTGCCAGCCCCCTGGAGCCTCCCTTCTGCTGCCTCCTGCAGGCTTTCCCCACGCCCCCGCAGCAGCCTGCAGGGCCGGCTTTGCCAGAGGTTCGCAAATGGGAAACAGGATTGGGCAGGGCGTATGGAGCCACAAGGCCTGGCTGAAGCCATTCTGGCCACTTCCCCACCGCCAGCCCCCAACCTCACACCCCAGTCCAGAGCAGCCGCCTCTCCCTGTACAAACCAAGGGGGACTGGTAACTGCAACCTGGGGCCCAGGGCTTCCAAACTTGGCAGGGGCCCTCGTGCAGTGGGCAAAGAGCCACGGCCGCAGCCCACAGCAAGGCCACATGGCTCGCATTCCTCCTTGCCCCAGCCCCACACACTTTCTGCCGGCTCCCACAGGCTCCAGGCCAGTCCCACCAGCTGTGGAGCTGGGCAAACCCGTCCCCTGGCCATGCCTTGAACAGAAAAGAGGCTGGTCTGGGGGTGTCCACAGGCCACACTGCCCCTCACAGTGACTCACCAGTCCTGGTAGAGAAAGGCCACCATTGTTGTCAGGGGCCAATGGCTTCCCCAGAGGTCCCATACCCCCAACCCCCAGCCTGGGGCCCTACCCCCCTGGAGCAAAGCCAGCCAGGGGGCCTCCAGCTGACCTGTACAAGCCCCTGAGAGGGGTCCCGTGGAGGGGCTCCTGGAGTGGGGCCCGGAGGTGTGGCATTCCCGGAGCGGGCCATGGAGGCGGGCGGGTGGACCGACGCAGCCAGCTGAGGGTGCTGCACTGGAGTGGCGTGAGCTCTCAGCACAGCTGGGCTGCCACCCGCTTATCTACCCCCTCCATGGCCCACGGCTCCCCGGGGATGGGTGGGGACATGGGGGCTGAGTCACTTTGGGGAGCAGGGTGGGGACAGAGCCCCCTCCCCTGCTAAGGGAGGCTCCAGTCGGACGCCCCCCCCCACCCAGCTCAGTTTCCGTCCCAAGAAAGGAAGGAAGGAAGCGGCTGGGAGGCCCTGCCCTGCTCTGAGACCCAGGGCTACGAGGACAGGGGGGCGAGGGAGAGGTCCCAGCCCTGCAAACCCAGGGCTACAGGGACGGGGGGGCAGGGGACAGGACCCAGCCCTGCAGACCCAGGGCTATGGGGACAGGGGGGCAGGGGACAGGACCCAGCCCTGCAGACCCAGGGCTATGGGGACAGGGGGGTCAAGGGAGAGGACCCAGCCCTGCAGACCCAGGGCTACGGGGACGGGGGGGCGAGGGAGAGGTCCCAGCCCTGCAGAGCCAGACACCAGCCTGCTGTGCCTCCTGGGGGAACAGACAGCCAGCCCTCAGAGCCACTACCCCTCACTGTCCTTCTCTGTGCCTGTCAAGACCCTCCGAGCAGGAAGCAAAGGCACGGCGGGGCGCAGGAGCTGCGACCCAGGGCCTGGCACCGCCGACTGCCCTGTCTCAGTCCGGGGGCTGTCCCTAGCGTCAGCACCAGCTGTGTTGCAGCTGCAGCCACCCCCAGCCCAATGGGGCCCGGGGCTGAGTCACTGCTCACAGTCAGGGCCTTCCCAGCCTCCAGAGGTAAGGGATTCCACACCAAGCACGGGTCCCTCCACCAGGAGAGGGTGCCCTCCACGGGGCACCCCACTCCTCGCCAAGACAAGCACACAGTCACCCTCCCCTCCCTCTCTCGGCACAGCCCTATGGCCTGCTGGGCTCCCTTATAGCCAGCGCAGGTGGCCAGCACCTGAGCCCTGAAGAGGCGGCCCAGCGCCTGCTTCTGGGGTACACCCTGGCCCCTGACCTCCTTGCTGCCAGCTGGGCCCCACCTTGTTGTTCCTCTAGGAACCCGCCCAGAGGAAGCCGCTCCTAGGACTTCCTGTGGCCCCCAGAGCTAGAGCCAGGGAGGGGGAAGCTGTGACAGGGTGCTGGGGGAGCCGCAGACACCCCACCCTGCGGACAAGGCCCAGGGCGGATTTTTCCACAGGAAGGTGAACTGGGCCGTTTGTGTCTAAATCAATGGACAAATGCAGAGTGTGGTGTGGGGGGGCTTCCTCCTGGGAGAGGGAGGGGTGCCTGGGAAAGCAGCAGGGTCCCGGCCGGGACAGGCCCCGCCTGGCATGCTGTGGCCGGTCACCAGGGCTGCCTGGAGAGACTTCTGCCCTCAGGAGCCCCGGGGCCAAGGTCCAGACTCTGGGGCCCGGCACCTGTGACCCTGGCCAGCCTCACAGCCTGGTGCAAATGGCAGAGAACGCAGTGGGCCCCAGTTCCCATGTTAGGCTCTTGGCCAAGCCTGGCTCCCACTGGAGATCCCTTCCCGGGCTCCACACACAGCCTGGCCTCATGGGCATGCCCTGAGTGCCCCTCGTCACCTACCTGTCTCCTGGGGCCTCCCTAATATCTGGGGGAGGGTGAACCAGCCCCCACACACCAGCTGAGTCTACCCCTCACCCCGCTGCCCACCTGCTGGACCAGCTCCCCAGAGGACTTCACAGCACACACAGGCTCCACAGTCCACACACCAAAAGCAGCTAGGCCTGCTGCATCCCTGCACATCCCGGGGACCCTGCTCACGCTTCTCAGCCCCTCAGCAAGGAAGGCCTGGGTAGTGACCCCTCCCTGGGCCAGGTGGGAAGCCGGCTAGCGGAAAGGCATGAAGACAGAGTCAGGGTGAGGACTAAGCAATCCTGTGCCCACCCAGCTTGGAACACGGGCACCTGAGCGGCCAGAGGGCAGTCCCAGGGGCAGAGAGGGGCTTGCTAAAGAGCCCAGGCGGACACAAAGCCCGGGCAGCACCGCAGGCAAGGGCGGCCATACCTTCTGGCCAGCGTCGCTGCTCAGGCTGCCTGCATGTGCCCAGTCCGGCCGTGGCTCCCAGGGGTCGCGCGCAGGCGGGAGGCCTCGCTGGGCCATGTCCTCTGTGCAGGTCAGCTGCCGCCGGCGAAGCTCCTCGTCTGTGTCCTTGTCCACCACCAGCAGCCGGGTGTGGCCTTCTACAGCCTTGATCCTCTGCACCACCTGGGCCAGGCAGGGATGGGGGCGGGTCAGCGGCCGGTGGCCCAGGCAGCACATGGATGGCTCAGTGCACTGGCAGGCAGGCGGTGACTGCCAGCGGGGTGGGTGGCTGGATCCAGAGGCCCGCAGGACCCGCCGGCTCCGCCCCCCACCCCCAGGCTCCAGCAGCCGCCTGCCTGGCCTCACCAGGGCCTTGGGATCACTCCAGGCCTTGCTCTGCATCCAGAACCTTCTCCAGGGGGTGGAGAGCCAGTCTGCAGGTAACGGTGATTGTACCCAAATGGACTTCAGACATTCAAGTTTGCCTGTGTGTGCACATGTTCGTGTGTGTGTGCTTGTGTGAGCCTGTGTATGGACAGCCGTGTGTGTGTGTGTGTGTGTGTGTATGCTCGTGTGGGCCTATGTATGGACAGCCGTGTGTGTGTGTGGACAGCCGTGTGTGTGTGTGTGTGTGTGTGGACAGCCGTGTGTGTGTGTGTGTGTGTGTATGCTCGTGTGGGCCTGTGTATAGACAGCCGTGTGTGTGTGTGGACAGCCGTGTGTGTGTGTGTGCCTGTGTGTGGACAGCCGTGTGTGTGTGTGTGTGTGTGCCTGTGTATGGACAGCCGTGTGTGTGTGTGTGTGCGGACAGCCGTGTGTGCTTGTGTGAGCCTGTGTATGGACAGCCGTGTGTGTGTGTGTGTGTGTGTGTGTGTATGCTCGTGTGGGCCTGTGTATAGACAGCCGTGTGTGTGTGCGGACAGCCGTGTGTGTGTGTGTGTGTGTGTGTGTGTGTGTGTGTATGCTCGTGTGGGCCTGTGTATAAACTGCCGTGTGTGTGTGTGTGGACAGCCGTGTGTGTATGCTTGTGTGGGCCTATGTATGGACAGCCGTGTGTGTGTGTGTGTGTGCCTGTGTGTGGACAGCCGTGTGTGTGTGCGGGCCTGTGTGTGTTGTGCAAACATTTGTGCGTGCATATGCGTGTGTGCGCTCTGTCAGCTCTACCATCTGTCTCGGAGTCTGCCTCGCCGTCTGGCTCCGGGAGAGGGAGTTTTCTCCGGGGTGTGGTTTGGCAGTGGAGGCTGCATTGCCCTCCGTGCAGCTACACCCCACACCCAGCACGGAGGGCCGAGGGCAGGTCCACCTGGGGGACAGGTGTGGCATGACAGTCGCCTGCAGGGCCTGGGAAGGCCTGAGCAGTGAGAGATGGCCAGAAGCGTGCACCTGAGCACCCTGAACGTCAGCCCCTTCCTTGGGAGCCCCTTCCTGTCCCCCTCCGTCTCCCTGCCTAACGATAAGCTCTGGGCCTCAGCGCCCTGGTCTGCAGCCCCTGTCTCCCCTCCTGGGGCTGTGGGAGGCTCTGGGGTAGGTCCAGTGCCCCAGGGGCCTGAACAAGTGAGTGTGCCTGGGCACAGGGTGGCCATGACTGACACACAGGGCCTGCATGCCAGCTCAGCTGGCCCTACACCTGTCAGCCAAGCCCTCTGGTCCCGACCACCCTGCTGCCACTTTTCTGTCTGTGAGGCAGGCAGTGGATAGAGCACCCTGGGGCAGACACCCGCCAGGGGTTCAAGCCCTGGCCAAGCACAAAATCAATCTATTCATCTCCAGGCCCCGAGCAGGCCACGTAGGCTGGTCACAGACTCACTGGGTGAGGGCCGCCCAGCAGCCCCAGCAGGTCTGCACCGAGGCTGGCCGCTAGCCAGGGTGTGAGGCCAGTGCAAGGGAGACGCCCCCCAGCCCAGGGCTGCAACGCTCTCCAGCTACGTGAGGCGGCCTTGTGGCCAGAGTTCCCAGCAGGAGGGAAAGGACTGGAGGGGTGCAAGGCCAGGGATCAACTCCCACCGGACCAGGCACTCCAGCTGGACGGGACACGGGCGCCACCGAGGACCCCAGCAGCGGGTGCGCCCACACATCCCGACTCACACTCGGGGAAAGCGGAGGGCGGCCAGGGCCGGCCAGGGCCGCAGTGCGGCCCCTCCCTGCCATGGGGGAGGCGGGGGCGGCCCCTGCCAGAGCTGCGGAGCCTCCCCCGGCCCGCCCGCGGCCCCGCACCCACCTGGTGGTGCGTCTCGCCCTCCACGTTGACGCCGTTGACCTCGACCAGCCGGTCCCCTGCGCGCAGCGCGGCCGCCTCGGCGGGGGAGCCGGGCTCCACGCGCCGGATGAACTGCCCACGGCGGCCCTTCTCGCCGTGCAGGTGGAAGCCGTAGCCTTGCTCGCCGCGCACCAGGCGGCACAGGCGCGGCCGCAACGGCTCCGGCGCGGCCATGGCGCCCGCTGACCACCGGCCGGGCGCGGGCTGGCCGCGGCGCTCCGGGGCCCGCAGGCCGGGGCGCGGGGCTGGCGCGGGGCTGGCGCGGGGGGACGGGCGGCCGCCTCGGCGCTGCGCCCGGCTCCAGACGCCTCGGGCTCCGGCTCGGCTCCGGCTCGGCTCCGGCTGGGGCGCCGCCCCCGCTCCCGCCCCTTCCCCGCCCCCGCCCCGGGGCCACGCTGCGCCCGCCCGGCCGGCCCTGCCTCGGGCCCGGCTGCCCCGAGGACTCCCCGCACCTCTGCCTTTTCTGTGCGGGGCACCACCGGGGCAGGCTCTTGGAGCGGGCAGCAGGCAGGAGGAAGTGAGATGGGGTCCCCTGGCCTGCCGCCGTTCCTCCAGGCTGCTCCTCCCTCGCCCCTCGCAGTGCTGCTCCCTAGAGCCTTGAGCAAGCAGGGCTGCCTTGTCCCACGCAAAGCGCCACGGTCGGCCAGGAGACCAAAGGAGGCCAGCACATGGAGCACTGGGTGCATAGTCACCCAGCCTCCTGCTCTGCGCTGGGCACTGGGGCCTGGACTGGCTGTGTATCGCGGCGGGTTGGGGGTGTTTTATGTTAACCTGCTGGCCTCGGATAAGCTGCTCCAGGGCTTTGGCCTCTGTGCTCCGGGCAACTCTGGGCAGCCGTCAGCATGGCACACACAAGCACACACACAGGGCGTCCCTCCAGCCCCCTAACCAAACGGCAACCCTTCCTCCCCATGGGCCCAGGGACAGGAGGCACTGATGCTACACCCTTCCCCACAGAGCCCTGCTGAGGTCTGCCCCAAGCCAGCAGGGACCCCAGCACTTACCGGTCTCCCCAGGGTGGGGCAGAAGTGGCCCAGACAGCCGCCCATGTGGGCAGCAGGAGAGGGTGGCCCAGCTCAGCCCCCACAGCCAGATCTGACGGCAAGACTCTCGGCCAGGGCTCTCCAGCCCCCACCATGCACAGGGCCCGCCCCTGGGCAGCCTCCTGAGCCATGGCCCCCTGGGTGCCCACGCCTCAGCTGCTGGCATCACCCATCCTGCCCACACCCAGCAGCTCCTGAATGAGGCTGCCCTGGACCAGCTACCACCTCTGCCCGGTCCCTGCCTGTAGCTGCTGAGAGGGCAGCATCCCACCACCCACCACCCACAGACATCCCGGGAGGAGCTGGCGAGTCCTCGCCCAGCACCCAGCACAGCCGGGCTGTTGCTCTGTGGCCGCCCTAGCTCAGGGGATCCTGGTCTCCCCCTCTTCCCTCCAATCCAGGAAAGAGCTTCCAGGTCCCCTGCTGCTTTCTGCTGCCCAAGACCCGGCTGCATGTCACTGAGTTGGGCAAGGGTGGCCAGCTGTGGGGTCTCTGAGGGTGCAGGTCAGCACCACGGAGGTGAGGTGCCGCGTTCTCTCGGGTCACAGTGGGATGACTGAGCAGCAAGGAGCCAGCCAGAAGGACCAAGACGATGAGACTAGAGCCCTGGGGACTACCCTGCGGCTCCGGCGGCAGAAGTGGGGTCTTCCCTCAGAGCCCCCGGCCCAGGCTGGCCGAGTGCCCCTCAGGGACGCCTCAGTATCTTCAGAGCTGATACTGGAGCGGGCACGCAGGCCGCGCGGGCAGCCCGGGGACCGGCCAGGAGGACGGCGGCGGCGACCAGGCCTGGCCAGGAGGACCGGCCAGGAGGACGGCCAGGAGGACCGGCCAGGAGGACGGCCAGGAGGACGGCGGCGGGGACCAGGCCTGGCCAGGAGGACGGCCAGGAGGACCGGCCAGGAGGACGGCCAGGAGGACGGCGGCGGGGACCAGGCCCGGCCAGGAGGACGGCCAGGAGGACCGGCCAGGAGGACGGCCAGGAGGACGGCGGCGGGGACCAGGCCTGGCCAGGAGGACGGCCAGGAGGACGGCCAGGAGGACCGGCCAGGAGGACGGCCAGGAGGACGGCCAGGAGGACGGCTGCGGGGACCAGGCCTGGCCAGGAGGACGGCCAGGAGGACCGGCCAGGAGGACGGCGGCGGGGACCAGGCCGGCCAGGAGGACGGCCAGGAGGACGGCCAGGAGGACCGGCCAGGAGGACGGCGGCGGGGACCAGGCCGGCCAGGAGGACGGCCAGGAGGACCGGCCAGGAGGACGGCCAGGAGGACGGCGGCGGGGACCAGGCCCGGCCAGGAGGACGGCCAGGAGGACCGGCCAGGAGGACGGCCAGGAGGACGGCGGCGGGGACCAGGCCCGGCCAGCAAACGCGCGGGCGCGCCCTGAGCCCCGCGCGGCGGCCGCGCAGCGCCACCTGGCGGGCGTCGCCTCGCCTCGGCTCAGCCCCGCGTGGCCCGGCGGGGTGGGGGCCGATGGTGCTCCAGACGTGTCATGGGGGATAGCGGGCAGAGACGGCGGCCGCCCCCAGCCCCAGTGGGACCCCCTTCAACCCGGTATTCATCAGACATGGAGGCCAGTCGGCACCGGGCGTGGCAAGCCCTGGGTGGATGAGGTCTCCTGTACGTGGGCCTGGGACCCTGCGGTCCTCCCCACGCCGGGTGGGGGAGTGACAAACTGTGTCGACTCAGGGCACAGATGGGGACCCAGCCCGAGAGCTGACCCTGGCCAGCTGAGATCCAGGTCGGCTCTGGGAACTGGGACGCTGCAGGGGAGAGGTGAGGGCACCCAGACCATCCTGAGCTGGCGGCTGAAGGAGACGGCAGAGCCCAGGTGTGTAAGAGGCCAGAGCCAGTTACCAAATGCAGAATGGGAAGGGCAAGGAGGGCAGGGGAGCCCCTCGCCCCCCGCCCCAGGACAGCATGACTGTCAATGGAGGTGTTCCCAGGAGTGCAGGTCTGCAATGAGGGTTGGGAGACAAGACGCGCAAGGTGGGCTGCCTGAGCCCAGGATCCGGGGCTCCAGCGTCATTGTCCGCGGCTGGCCCCTTCTTCCTCCCTGCACACCCCAGGCTGAGACAGGGCCCAGGGTCCCTCTCCACCTCCCTCACAGGAGCCGGTGGGGTCACCTCGCCCGGAGCCCTGGCCTGACCTCATTGCTCCCCGCTGCCCCGCCCCTCCTGAGAGCCCAGGGGATTCCTGACATTTGCCAGGGCGTGGGCGCAGCACTTCGGGCCGGAGCCCATCGGCAAAGTACACAGCAAAGAGAGGGGTCACACGCGGGGGTGCAGCGAGAGAGGCGGGTTTTATTGACCGCACAGCCCGGCGGGGCCGGCGCTGCGGGCACGCGGGAGCCACGGGGGCGGGTGCGCTCAGGGCTGTCCGGGGGTCAGGCGGGGGCCGGCGAGGGGTCTTCGCTGCAGGTACCAGCGTGGCGGGGCTGGAGGCGTCTCTCCGATGAGTCTATTAAAAACACAGCGCTACTGTTAGGGATCGGCGGTGCGCCCCTCGGGTGTACGGGACGGGGTTGAGGGGCTCACCAGGTGTGGGTCGCGCGCCCCCCGCCTGCACCTCCCGGGAAGCCCTGGCTTCTCCGTTCCCTCACGTACCTGGCGGGCTCCGCTGAACTCGGGTCCAGCCGCAACTCCTCCGGGGCAGACGGGCTGCGGAGCGCATGGACGGGGCGCGCAGCCGCGGAGCTCCAGCGTGGCGCCTCCCGCCGCTCCCGAAGCCCCGGGGAAAGCAGAAGAGCATTGCGCGCGGCGGGCGCCGGGGCGAGCGCGTCCCAAGCCGGGGTCCTGGCGGCCGCGGGCAGGGCGCGACGCCACACGTAGGGCGAGCGGCGCAGCCCCATGAGCAGGCCGGCCGCGCGGCCCACCGTGTGGTAGCGCGGACTCGCCACGTGCTTGTACCAGGCGCCCGTGGGCAGCGGCAGCAGGAGCAGCAGCAGCGGCAGAAGCCGCCGGCTAGCCCCAGGACCCCGCGCCGGGGTGCGCACTCCCGGGCCCCACGCCAGGGCGCTTGTGTCCACGGCCGCCCGACTGGGCGGGCCAGCAACCAGCGGGGCTGGGCTGAGTCGGGAGCTGCGGGTGAGAGGCGAGAGGCGTTTGGTGGCCCGCGAGCGGGTCCGGCTATAACCACTCGGTCGCCCCGCCCCAGACCGCCCCCGCGGGGCCCTGGGGTCCTCCGAGGTGGTGGGAGGGGTGGAGCAGGACGACTCAGGGCGCCTCGTGGGAGCGGCCTGGACGGTCTGCAGGGGCCTTCCCGCGGGAGGCGTCCGGAGCCGCAGGTGGAGGGGTGGAGGGGACAAACGCAGCCTCCAGACTCAGGGCTCCTGCAGGTACCAACCCAGGGACAGGAAAGCTGGAAGTGTGCCCTGGGTGTGCCCTCCTCTAGGTCTTTCCTTTGGAAACTGTGGCCCCTCAGTGACCCTCCCAGCTCAAGGACAAAGGTGCAGCCCCTGAGCAACTTAGCCATGGCCCTGCCCACCTTCTGTCCTGCATCTCTCTGGCTGTGGTCCCCAAGGCCACTTGTCCATCCGTCCAGCTAGGCCCCGTGCTGGCCACCTCCGTGTCTTGAACGCTCTTATCTTCCTTCTCCATGGCCAGGGCCAGCTCCTCAACCTTCTTCAGGACGCTGCTGCAGTGGGTGGCCCCTGGGGCCATCACAGCTCACGCTCTCTGGGGGAGGGGCAGGGTCTGAGATCCTCACTCCTGACTCTCAGCCCTCCCCACAGCCACCCCTAGTGTCCCCAGTACTGAGAAGTCAGTCTGATGGGGCCCCTAGGAGGTACCGGGGCTATGGGCCGTTACCCCTGGAGCTGAGTGGGTCCCAGATCCTGTGCAGCTGCGTGTAGGGCTGCACTCCTGGACCATCCCCCCAAGAGCCTAGTGGAAGGATGGCAGGGAAGCACAGGTCCTGAGGTCTGGCAGCCTGGCAGCACCCCTCAGAGGCCACAGACAATCACAGGTCTGCGGGGCTGGTGGGGGCGGGGCACTGCTGTGGACCCCCACCTGTCTGCTGTCAGGCGGGGCGCTCTCGGCAGGAGCCCCTGAGGCCCAGGCGGGGGTGAGCCACAGGGTCTGGAGGACCACGGGGACCAGGCAGCCTGCCAGTGAGCCATCCCAGCCGCACCCCCAGGGGGCCCCTTGGTCGGGAGAGCCGCCTGGAGTGTGTGGTGGGCGGGCACGACAGCACGACTCAGGGCTGGGTCTGGCTGCTCTTCAAGTCCCCTGGGGCCTTCACCACTGGCTGAGTGCAGGTGTGGCCTGGGGACTGCAGCCCTCAGAAGAGGCACTGAGGCCTGATGCACTCCTTCCAAGTGGGCAGTGGGCGTCTGTGATGGGCCTGGGAGTCTAGAACAAGCAAGAGCAGCAGTGTTACTGGGTTGGGATGCCACCACCCCTCCACCCCTCCAGAGCCAAGATACCAGACACTGGGGTCTGCCTCAGGGCTGTGGCCCCAGCAGATAAAAAGCAGGAGGCAGGCACGGAACCCATGGCGCCGGAAGCCAGGCTGCCTGGAGAACCTGCCCCGTTGGGGTGAGGGATCCCAAGGCCAGAGGAGCAGCACAGGGGCTGTTCCGTCCCCCACCCCCAGCCAGGGCTCCTGGAGTCCAGCTTCTGCAGCAGAGGACTGCAAAACCCTCATAAGAATCCTCATCTCGGCCTCACCTCTCGCCATGTTTAAAAGGCAGAGGGACAGACGGAGAAGGGCGGTTGTGGAGAGGAGCAGAGGCCCTCCACCTGCTGGCTCCCAGGCTGTGAAGGCAGAGAGGCTGGCCTGGGCCAAATCCAGCAGGCTGAACTCCACCCTGGCCTCCCTCATGGGGGGCCATTTTCCCTTGCCTTCCCAGTGCATTAACTGGGAGCTGAAATGGGAAGTAGAGCCCCTGGGGCTTGAACTGCCCTCCAATCTCTAGCAGTGGCTTAACCTGCTATGCCACGATGCCAACCACAGGACCTGTGTGTGTGTGGGGGGGGGGTTAAAAGATTTATTTTTATTGGAAAGTCAGACTTTACAGAGAGGAGATACAGAGAATTCACTCACTAAGTGGCTGCAATGGCTGAGCTGATCCAAAGCCAGGAGCCCCTCCAGGTCTCCCACACGGGTACAGGGTCCCAAAGCTTTGGGCTGTCCTTGACTGCTTTCCCAGGCCACAGGCAGGGAGCTGGATGGGAAGTGGAGCTGCCGGGACATGAACTGGCATCCACATGGGATCCTGGCACATACAAGGTGAGGACTTTAGCCACTAGGCTACCACACTGGGCCCTGGTTCTGTTGTTTTAAAAATGTGTTTGAGAGACAGAGAGAAACAGCTCTCACTGTTGCCCCACTGGAATGGCTGGGGCTGGGCGAGGCAGAAACGCTGGGAGCGCAGGCCCCCTGTGCGAATGGCAGGCATCCACTGACTTGAGCCTGTCACAGGAAGCGGAGCCCGCGAGTGGAGACGGTGGGACACGGGTCGCAGTGGCCTGTCCAAGTGCCCCCCTCGTGCTGGGCACTACAAGGCCTTACTACAGCCACTTCTAGCTCTCCTCACTTGATACTGGGGTACAATTTTCTTTGTGTGGAGACACCTGGCCTCCCCGTCAGCTGGAGCCAGCCGGGGCTGCCGTGGGAGGCTGCGTCCAGTGAGGGGAGCACGTTTGGACACGTACGCAGCTGCCACCGGTGCATACCCTGTGCTCAATGCCCAGCTCAAGACGGAGAGCACGCCCAGCTTCGCGACTGCCCTGCCAGCCCATCAGAAATTCTCAGCGTGGATGAATGGGGCCTCAAGCAAGGGGGATGGGCGGCCGCCAGTTCCTGGACACCTATGGTGGACACTGCTCGGGGCCTGGCTCATCACAGCCATCCTCGGACACTTCCGCACATCTCTTGGGTTGGGCAAGAGCAGCCATGACTGAGACCCCCTGTGCCGGCTGTAAGTGCTGTCCCTGCCTTCCTTACCTGTGTTGTCGGGAACACCCAGTGGCTCCCACTGGTGGGGCTGGAGCTGGGCTCGCACACTAGGGGGCAAACTTGTGGCCCAGGGTGCCACCCTCAGTCGCATGTCTCCCCCACCGTGGCACCACGCCAGCCCAGCTCATGTATGCAAGGGTAGAGTGCTAGCGGGGAGAGTGAGAGCTCCGTTCACTGGTCTACACTCCATGGCTGCCACACGGCTGCGGCTGGCCAGGCTGAAGCCAGAACTCCGTCTGGTCTCCCACAGGAGTGGGCCACGAGCAGGGAGCTGGATCAGAGGTGGAGCAGGCAGGACAGGCATCAGAACTGGAGGCGGCAGAGCAGGGCTGCTCTCCCACCCCAGCCCCGGCTGCTGTGGTCTCAGGGCAGGGCACCAGCCCGTAGGGGACGGCTCTCTCACTCTGCCTTTCAGAAAAGTGTTTTAATTAAAGGAGTTTAAGCCAGCATTATGGTGTCCGAGCCCTCAGTTCTGACTTCCACAGCTGTTACTGCTGTCCAGGGTAGCCTGCTCTCGCCTCAGGGAGCCCAAGAGTCCTTTCTGTGGGAGCAGGTGCCTCAGAGTTCTTCTCCCGGAGGTTCTGCTGGAGGAAGCTCCCATTCCCTCCTGGCGTGTGGGTCTCCTCCTGGGCCTGGGTCAGCTTTTCCTGCAGAACACCCTCGGACCTCCTGCCCCGGGGTTGGCTCCCAGTGCTGTGCCCCGATCGCGGTCACCCCCGAGAGCTCCCAGGATCCTGGACATCTTCCACCTCCCCGAACTTGCACCTTTTGCCAGTTGCCTCACCTGGTCCAGCTCTCCGTGTCGGCCCTAACATTCCGTTCCTGGCCTGGTGGGCGAATGGTGTAGCCGGTAGAGCAGGCACCTGCGCCACTTCCAACCCAGGTCCCTGCCGATGCACTGGGAAGGCAGTGACGAATGGCCTAAGTGTGTGGGATCCTGCACCCCTCCGTGGGAGACAGGAGGAAGCTTCTGGCTCCTGACTATCTCTCCCTGTCACTGTGCCTTTCAAATAAACAAACCGACCTTAAATTCTTTCACTGCCTTTGCGGCGCGGTTTTGTGCATGCGCAGCTGCCAGCTGCACCCCCACCCAGGTCTAACTGGTGGCGACCCCTGCTTTACTCGAGGTGGGGGCTTCAGTGGGCCTACCAGTGTCACCAGCATGGAAGTGGGCGGCATGGGCCCAAGCCGTGGGGTGCGTCACTGCCCCGTTTCCCGGGAGGCCTCAGATCCACGCCAGCCTCCCTCGAGCGGGAGGGGGTCCTGAGCCGGCCTAGCCCCCCTCACAGTGGCATACCCTGGGTGGGGGACCCCTGCCCGCCGCCCAGGCCGCCGCCCAGGCCGCCGCCCAGGGGCTCGGGTCCCTATCCACAAGGACCGCCCGCTGCCACGCACGCCGCGCTGGACACGAGCGACACTCGGCGCCCACTCCCGGCAGGCGCGCCGCCCCGCCTGGACGGAAGCCGCGGCGCCCACTTCCGCCGGGCGGGGCCGTTGCTGGGCGGCCCGGTGACGTCGCCCGGAAGGGGCGGGCCGCCGGGAGGCCAGCCGCGCCGGCCGGGAGGGGGCCGGAGCCCGGACCATGGCGGCGGCGGCGGGCGCCGAGGCCCGGCGTGCGGCCGCGGATGCGGCGGCGGCGCCCGAACGCGGCGGCGGGAGCTGCGTGCTGTGCTGCGGGGACCTGGAGGCCACGGCGCTGGGCCGCTGCGACCACCCGGTGTGCTACCGCTGCTCCACCAAGATGCGGGTGCTGTGCGAGCAGCGGTACTGCGCCGTGTGCCGCGAGGAGCTGCGCCAGGTGCGCCGGGCCGCGCGTCGGGGGCGCGGCCGGAAGGGGACTTTGCCTTCTGCGCTGTCCGGTCGCCGGCCTGCCGGCTTCGGCTTCCCCGGGAGGCCTTGGTTGGGGGGCCCTCGCGGCGAGGTCCCGGCCGTGGGGGGCGTCTGGGAGGTTGGCTGAGCTGAGTGGGAGAGGGAGCGATCCGGGGGCCCCGACCCTGGAGCATCCCGCCCCCACACACACCCCGAGGCCGGGGATTAGTGCCAGGGCCACAGGAAGCGGGTGAAGTCTGTGATCTGGTCGTCTTTGCGGGGAGAGGGTCTCCATGTAGGGCGGAGGCGAGCAGGGCGCCTCGCGTGGACGTGGACGGTTAGGCTGTGGGCATTGCCGCGCCGTCCCCAGCGGTGATCCCGAACCAGCTCCTGGGACCTGCCCCTGCGGGGGGAGTCCCCTCGGTGCCTGCTGCTGTGGGACGCGTCGCAGGTGCCCCTCCTTCCAGCCAGGGCTGACTTCGGGGGCTCCCCTGGGCTTGTGCCTGCTCAGGTTTGGGAGAGCTCCGAGGCGCCCCACGCTGCCCCCAGGCTCCCGGCAGTGCTGCTGTGGGGGGGCCTCTCGCTGGAGCCTCCTCGGGTGCTTTAACAGTGGTGATCCCCTGCTTTGTTGATGGAAGGGCTTGCTCTGTGACCTCTGCCAGGAGGCCCGACCGTCCTCACCCTCAGGAGTGACGCAGACAGGCCAGCCAGAGACGGGCAGAGATGTTAGGGTCGTGTACTGGTCAGCCTGGGGACATCAGGGGAGGGACTTGGACCTGGGAGAGGGCTGGGGGTGCCAGGACAGCTAGGGGAGCCTGTGGTTTACTCAGAGGTGCCTCCCGACTTTGCCAGAGCCTGCCTTGTCAGCCGGCCAACACAACACAACATAATT